TATTTAAAATAATATTTTATATTTTATTTTCATCCCTTGTACATTTTGAATTTGATCCTAATTTAATCACGATTTAACTCCTAAATTTGTTGAAAGCTTTTGAAAAATTTTTTTTCAAACGTTTTAACAACTTATTGCCATTTTTTGTTTTAATGAAAACAAAAAATTCAAGTTTTTTATTTTAAAAAAATAAGAAATAAAACCAAACAACGCTAGGTCTTTATTAACGCAGTTTTTGCTTCTGTGGTTTAACTATATTTTTAAAAAATTAATTAAGGTAATGTTTAGATCGTTTTTAATGTAAAAAATAAATTTTAAAAATTAAAAATATTTTATTTTAATATATTTTAAAAATAAATGATGAAAAACCAAATCAAACAACTAATATACTAATGACCCAAGCAAGGCCCAAACCCAACGAAATCGGATGATCCTACAAATGTAATTATCCTAACATTACCTTCCTACAACATCATTAACCAACTAGAAACAGAGAGAACTGAGAGACGGTCGGAGCCAGATACTGCGTGAGAGCAATACCAGCTTAACGTTAGCCATGAGTGGGGTTTCTGCTTCTGCGTCAGCTTCCTCACCATCTCGTTGTTTCTACAATCTTCAATCTAAAATCCAAACTAGGCAAGAGATTTGCTTTGTTAATCCTCCCCTTATCTCATGTTCATCATCATCATCGCATATAAAACTTAAAACCCATCTGGGTCTGAGGTTTGAAACAGCTTTGAGAGGTTATCATAAAATCAATGTACGATGCAGTAGCAGCAGTGGACCTGGTGGCCCTGGTTCTGCTTCTGGTACATAGATTTCTTTTTCTCATTATTTTTGGTCTATGTATTGATATATATTATGTTATTTGGTGGTGATTTGAGAGAAATCTTTTTATTTGTTCCTTATTGTTTGGATTTTTTGAATATCAATTTGGGTTTTTATCTTATTTTGAATCTGATACGATCTTAGTTTTTAGTATCAAAAAATTTGCTGGTCAAACAATTCCCAGATAGTGTTTTCTAATGCTGTGCCCATGTTAAAATATTGCATGCGGAATAGTTGTTTGTATTTGTTGTTAATCATGTGGAACAAATGGTGTCAGAATGCCTGTGTATAAATCCGATTACGCAAATCAATTTGGAAAGAAATCAGTCCTCCAAAATATTTTTGACTAAGGGTCAATTGTGGTTTAAGGATTTCGAAGAGAATTTCTTGAAACATAAAGGGACTCTCGGTGTAACTAATGTGAACAATGACTTTAGAATCTCAAGTTTTGTGCTACTTAGGCTCGTAAGTGCAACAGTTTTTTAAGTGATTGTGTATGGACGTGAATGTATTGTGTGATTTTATCACGAGACTTCGTCAATGCTGAAGAGGATGTATAGTCTGGCGGCCAAGTTTCATTATGATTTCAAATACCTTGCTGAAGATGTTGCCCTTGATCTTTTATTTGTTGGAATTGTGATTGACTCCTTAGCGTTGCACATCTGTTGTGGAAACAATTGATTATTAAGCAAACATTTCCTACAAGCAGTTACTGTAGGAATTAAGAAGCATTTATATTTGATGTTTAAACTCTTAGAAGTTTCTGAATCTTTGATAATGAATGATGTAAAGAGAGACTGTTGGGTTTTATGAAATACGGCATTTTGGAGAATTGTGAAGTGTAAACCACTTAATGAATTTCGGGCCTACAAGATCATGAAATATTGGAAATAGGAAGTGTCAGGATGCCAACTGTAGCATCATGTGATGTTGCTTCATCGTTGCTAAACAATTGAGATACTTGATTTTGCAGGTGACAGTGATAGCAGGAGTGTTCTGGATGCATTTTTCTTGGGAAAGGCTGTAGCAGAAGCACTTAATGAGCGTGTTGAATCTGCAGTTGGGGAGTTTTTAAGTACAATTGGCAGGCTCCAAGCAGAGCAACAAAAGCAAATACAGGACTTCCAGGTAGTAAACTACATGTATTGTTATCGGTCTATATCAAATTTATTTATAGTCAAAGAGTACTTCCTTTTTACGTTCCTTCTTTTATTAATGGATGGTTCTTTGAGCAAATTCGTGCTGTTGTGTTCAGGGTGGAGGATGTTTAATTGTGTTCCACCTGTATTCAGATTCAAGAACTGTCACAGCAGATATTCTTTAAAAACTTTCTCTTAGCTTTTTAATTATAGTGGCATTACATGTTGAATTTTAGGTTACATATTTATGTTTTTATATGTTTTAATGATAAAAATAAAATGAAAATTGGACCAATAATATGCTTTGTTGAAAATAAGTGTTAAACATGTTTTATATAAAGATTGTAAGGATTTCATGAAGAAATCAATCAAAAATGTAAAAGGTTGTTGTTCTAGGATTAAACTAACTATAACACCTAAAAAAAGATGAATTAGGTGTATCACTAATATTAACAAATAATGTAAATTAAATCAAATAAACACAATAACCAACAATATAATTAAAGTGCTTAAAATAAATAGGTAAGAAAGAATTTGCAAACTCGATTCTTAACATGATTCTACAAGTCTATATTCACTTTTTAAGTACCAACTCGTACTTGAGTATCGTATTCTTTTACCTGTTCAAGTTGTAGAGTACAATAACCACTTGATGAATTCACACCAAGATTTTTACACCATTTAAAGATGTTCTCTCTTCAAGATTTTTCTCCCACTTCAAAACATGTCCTCTTCAAGATTTTCTCCTAGTGAAAACACTTCATCAATGTCAATATTTTTCTTCTAAATCTTAAGGGCTTACAATTGTGATTCTTTTATACCATGAATTTACTTTCTTGATAGAATGGGTGTTACAATTGAAAATCTTAGCATCTCTATATCTCATTAGATAGCACATATAAGACTAAAAAGTGTTTAAGTGCAGTGATAATGAGAATGTATACTCTTGTACTATGAAAGTTTGATTGCACAAATACGAGTATAATTAGGGATTTATGATTTTGAAGTTGTTTTGCTCTTAAAATAGCTTGTATATAATACATGTTCAGATTCTCTTGCTAATTTTACTGTTAGAGAAGCTATATATATTTCGTAGCTGGAATAATGGTGTTCCATCCATACCTGTCAGCAATGTCTCTAAGTGTTTGAAAATGGAAGTTAAACATTGACAAAAAAAGACTTGTTTTTTTTATCATGATCATATTTTTACCTAAAGATTTTTAATTTTTTTTTCAAATAGATCGATTGCTATAGAAAGAGGATTAAGGCATGATTTGTGTGCATTTGATATTGATTCTATTTTTTAACATATAGGTTAGAGTACATTGTCTTATATGAAGAAACTCACCCATCCTAAGCTTATTAAAATGTTTTTTTGCCAAGTGTACTTGAGCTGTGAGTATCTTCCTTTTATTTCTATTCTATAGCATAGCTGCAAGATCTTTTTCTTGTTCTTGATTTATATATTTTTCCCTTTTGCTAAATTGTTTTCAAGGCAATACAGATAATATGGGCTGGGATTAACTTTCGCAGGCTGTGCGTTATTTAGTTCATTCAAGTAGTTGAAATTATTTCCCTGTAACCTAGAATGGTGTATATACATCTTACAGCTAGTATTTTTGACCTCAGTAGAGGTTTGAGTCTTCGAACCAGTCATGGTCATTTGCTGCTTACATCTTTAGCTTTATTGCTATATCCTTCCAATTTTTTGGTGCGTGTATCTGTAAATCATTTGATCATGTGCAGGAAGATGTGTTGGGAAGGGCTAAAAAAGCCAAAGAGCAAGCAGCTCGTGAAGCCATGGAAGGGCAAGGAATCATTCCCAAGCCTACTACAGTAGAAACAACATCAGTCAACCAAGGTGTTAGCCAAACACCTTCACCATCTACAGCCAACGCTGTCAAGACAGATTCAAATCCTGCCACCAAGGGCCCTGTTTTAGGGGTGTCAAGTGATGACTGAGCATCTATCTCTGTGTTCTATGTGTGTTGAGTGGTACTACATTTCCATGCGAAAATCGGTTGTCTCTCAGCATGGCATACATGTTGCTAATTAGTTAGTTGCTAAACGTTTAGTACCACAGAACCTGTTCAAATGGACTGAAATGCTTCCAAGTATCAGTACCACCATCACCATAAGATCTAGTGACCAGTTGTTGTCGTTAAGGAATTAGGAAATCTTGCATGCTCTGATGATTGCGTTGTCAAACATCAAGCTACCGAATGAAGCTGTGTTTTAGTAATTCGACACTTAGAATGTAATACTTGCAAGTTTATAAACTCAATATCCTATATGATCAAGTATTTGAGTCTATAAGCTTTTGATCTTTTTATGCCACAGGTGCAATCATGATTTACTCCCTTCATGCTTATTTTGATTAAATGATAAAATGAAGAGCACAGCTGCTCATTTTTATTCTAGATTGGAGGTGCGGCTGTGAAAGGCAGAATTATATGCAGCCTTTTGGGTGTTGCATCTGGCATGGCATCTTGATTGCAGGAAGGTGGTTTTAGAGATAGTGCGGGTGTGATGGTCCTTTAGTGGATCCCTTTTTGTGGTGCCATCAAGAATTTTTTGTCTAGGCTGGGAGGTTCAAGCTCGTCAGGCCTCTAGAGGAACGAAGAGAACACGATTTAAAGCTCTTAAGCCACATCAAAATTTCAGTGTCTCATCTTCAATTTTTCACAATTAGATTTTTCATTTTCAAAGCTGCACAATCAGATGTGGTTGATTCAGCTTTTTGCACTTGACTGTGCTATTGTAAAAAGATGCAAACCCAGAATAAAAATTAAAGATGAAAGCTTGATTGTGAACTTTAATAATGTTCAAACATGGTTAGCTAATTAAGCATCGACACAATGCTTAGATCTCTTTTTTTTTTTTGGATAATTTCAATGCTACATCAAGATGTAGTAGAGAAAAAAACATGGAATTTATCTGTGGAGAAAGAATTGTGCATGTGGGAGAAGAACGAAGGCATTTCTTTGATGCTAATTCTCCCCACCCCGCCCACCAAAAGGAATTCATGATATCGAGGCATCGTACAGGCACATATGAAATAAATTAATCTCGCTCTGTTGTTTAACAAAATTTCCAATTTGCTTGAATCAGAAAGAGTTTGTATTTCCACGGTCTCCCCCCCCCCCCCAAGAAAAAAAAAAAAGGCCGACTCCTTACTCATCATCACACTGAATACCAGACATAGGCACCTCCGCCGGAATTGGACTCTCATCATCCATCTTACCACTCTTGTCTTCAACATTCATGGCAGAACCGTTCTTAAAATCCACTTTAAAGTCATAATCATCATCCATTGTGTCCACTTTAGCTGCTTTTTTCCTCCTTTTCTTCTCAGCTCTTTTCATCTTTGTATTCAGTATACCTTCTGCTGAATAGAGCTTCTCATTTTGCCTGCTAATTTCAGTTTTTGCCTTAGTCTTGTTTGCATTGTCATCTTCAGACTCCATTGGCTCGTCATCATTGTTAACCAGTTCTTTGGAGCTTTCATCACCTTTAGTTGATGGTTGAGCTACATCTCCATCTCCCTGATGTGTGTCACAAAATGTAATCAGAAGAAAATATTGAAATAAACTAAAAAAAATTGAGATAGAAGAATTAGATGTCTCCAGAAATAAATCTTTTATAAACATTGAATTATAGGAAGAGCATAGTAATAGTAAGTTTACTATAAGCAGTTTTCACATGGGAAACTGCAACTTTCCCCTCCATATGGATATTGAACTTGTAAAAGATAAGGTTTATACAGTAAAGCCAAAAGCAATGGTTATATAAATTCTTTCTTTGGGGAAGGCTTCATGTGAAACATCAAGAGATGAATAAACCAGTCACAAAAACAACAATGCAGCCATCAGAAACCATTTGCAATGAAAAAGTTTAAAGAGCAAAACTGGCTCACTTCATAGCCTAAGAACGTTAGCACTTCTCAAATGCTGAGACCAATAAAAAGACACAAACCTCAATCAGCTTTTCATCAAAATTGAGAGGGCAACTAGGAGGAACTTCTACAGGATTGTAGTCGTCAGCAGACTTGAGGCTTCCAATGAATGAGGATTCACCATTGTAAACTTCATCAATGTTAAATTCCTTCCCAAACTCTGAAACAATCTTTGCCTCTGAAGGCTCCCCTTGATTCCTGGCTGGGGGCATTGTGTAATATGGTATCTTACCTGTAAAATATTAAATATATACCTAAGTAGGAATTTCTTTCTTTTACATATGCAATGTGTCTTTGAGGTATGTCTTTGTTTGTAGAGATTGTAAAATTTCATTAAAAATGCGTACCTTCATTCCAGTCATGCAGAACAATTCTAGCAGCAGCATCAACATCCACAATGCCACCCTTTTTGAGTCTACCCCTTACAGTAGCCACCTTTTGTAGAAAGTCATCAACTGAATCAAAGCTAGGGATCTTGTATAGTGTTACCAACAGTCTATCTGGGCACAGCTTGAGAATTTCTTTCACTGCATTGTCCACAGAAAGGTAACACGCATCAGTATGCTAATTATATTCCTAACATGAAGGTGTCTGACTAAACAAATAATGCATCTCAATTTTCTTAAATGTTAGTGCCATGGATTTCAAATTTACAGATTTGTAATTCTGCAGTCTGATATAAACTCGTACAAAGTTTAGTGCTCATATCACTCAGATTTATACAGTCGTTTTTCACATGTTTAAAAATCATTTCCAGGGAACAGAGTCACAATGAGACATTCTCTACAAGCAGCAAAGAAATGCCAGGATGCTTGTATTTATCTTCCACAGGAGAAAAAGGACACAACTCTCAACATTAAATTTCAAATTCAAAGAAAATCAAAAGCTATTTGCTAGACAGTCATCTATAATGAGCATGCATTGCTTTCTAGCCATTAAACAATTATAATAAATCACAGTAACATGATCCTTTCAGAAAGGCAAGCACATAGCAACAAAATGGTATCTGCAAGACTGGAACATTCCGAGGAAAAATCCTTCAAAATAAGCATATCACCAAGATTGAAAATGCTAATGTAGCTCCTCTTAACCCCCAACTCCAGCTTGCTCATCTACCTTGTCCTCCTTTTGTTACAGAAATACAACTGCAATGTTTAACCAGACTTGCAAGATCCAAATTCCATCAAAGTAAACGTTCATGAAAAAATAAAAATAAAATAAAATAAGCAATAAAGCAGCTGGTCCAAGACAAAGGCAACACTGTTGAAATATTAACAGGAAAGAAAGGATCATTTACCTGGACCAACTGGATCATCCAACTTCTCTATCCTTTTGCAGTTTCGAAGAGCTACAGACGCATCACTCTCCACAGATTTAAGCATTACAACACCAGGACAGTCCAACAATTTAACATTCTTGTCTAGCTGAACTTCTTGCATTGATCTAGTTAATCCTGGAGTAGAGCCAACATTGACAACATGGGATCTCTTCAAGCTGTTAATTAGACTACTCTTGCCAACATTGGGCAGGCCAATTACACCAACTGTGATAGATTTCTTGATCTGAAAAATCCAAGGTATAGCTGGGATTACTACTTGCCAGAAAAAGATTTTACAGGCTCTATCACATTTTTTTCCCAAACAAACTGTAAATAAATCACTGCTCAAATGAGTGGAAAACCAAATATTATGCAGGAATCTAGGCACTCCTTAAACTTCAACCTCAGAACCCTCTCTTAAAAAAGAAAGTTGCCCTAACATACCTCATGGCTTCTTGAGTAATTTTTCAGCAATTTAATAAGAGTTTCAGCTCCAAGACAATCACTTGTTTGTAGAAGAGTGCTCGTCTTGGCTGATTTTGAGGAAGATTTCCACCCTAAGTTTGATCGCTGCTCTTGCGTATTGCACTTGAACGCAACTGCCGGGAATTCTTCTCTAAGATACTTAAGCCATTTCTCAACAGCTTCACGAGGGACAAGATCTAGAATAGAAGAATCAATAAAGATAAGTAACTAGTGGAACTGCAAAGTTTAGGGAAAATGAAGCATTCCACCTGCCACGTAGCATTCTTAATATATTCAAGGAGCAAGCAAAACTGTAGTAAAATGAGAGAAATTACCAATTTTGTTTAGAAGCAACACTAGGTGCTTATCATAACCCGATTTCATCACCATCTTTTCCATATCAACACATCGTGTACCAAGAGGATCCCGTGCATCTAGGACCTCCAGGATGACATCCGATGCTTCAACAACTTTAACCAGCTCCTTGTAGAATGCCCTATCAGAATTTTCTGCACGGGAATAAATGTCAAAATAAAAGCACAGCAAAAATTACACATGTTAACTTGGATTCTTCATTACCTCGGTTTCTCGTGATTCCTTTGAATTCTACACCACCATTTTGGTCTCCAGTATTTTGTTCTTTTTCCGAATCCTTAGTGCCATCATTCTCTAACAGCCCCAGCTTCCTCTTTTGAGCCTGAAAATACACATGAAGATGTGTTCCTAGAAATGGATGAAAAGTACAAGACAAAATTGCAAGTCATGTTTAAAAAGATAGCAACCTGGAAAATGAACAATCTTATTTAAAATTGTCTCTTATAATCGATTCTGAACCAAACCATTCTGCCTAGCTCGATCCTAAAGCAATTGGAAAAGTAAAAAAGGCTACTTATGCATGTTCAGAGATGATTTTAGAACCGCAAACAGTAGAAACTTTGCCAAGCGAACACATCAAAGAAGCTGGCAACAGCAGCTTATTTAGCTAAATCTTTACAGATACAAACCGCTTTGTTGACTAAACTCAAAGACCATCTATGTGAATTCACCAGACCAGCAAAAAAAAAGCACTAAACAAAAAAAATTTCAATGGAAACAATACCCTCTCTTTGCGGGCAGCTTTTTTTTGCTCCAACTCCTCAATAGCACGAGCCCTGCGAGCTTCAAGAGCTTTCAGCTCCTGTTCCTTGAAAGGCCATTCATTAGGAATACCAGGGTCCTTCTCAACCTTGCGTTTTTTATCCAAGCCAGACTTCTTAGCTTCTTTGGCCTTCTTTTTGTGATGCTCCTTCACTTTCCTTATAACCTTATACTTCTGTTTCAACGACACCCTCTTACTCTTACTCTCTACAGAAAAACATAACACACGAAAAAAAAATCAAGACAGATAAAATATTTTGTGCGGATATTGAGATTAGAGAAAAGGGTTTTGCTTACTTTTGCTCTTCTTCACCATGTTTGATAGCTATAGGTCTGATACCCTGAAATTATAGCGTAAGATGCAGAACAGAGAAAGAAATATCTTCAGACCTTGATGATGGTAGAGAAAGAGAAGAGCACGCGTTGAGAGTTACGTAGAAATACCTGGAAGAGGAGCTGCTTGTTTTCTTTCGAGTTTAGGGTTCAGTCAGCAGAGTGGAGAGGTTGCTAGGGTTTTTGAGAGGGGGGCTTGTATATGGGTCAAATGAAACGATGATCCATCCGGCACCGTATGTAGGCCCAAGCCCAACTGGGAGGACCAGGTGCCAAAGTAGTGGCTTCGGCGTTATATAATCACCCGAACCCAGTAGATATTAGGTTCGGGTTGGTTCGGGTAGAAATCTAAGACAAAATAAATTCATTTTTAATCAGATTTGGATCATGATTATTTCAAGTTTTTATGAACAGTATAAAACCCGACTAGTGATAATTTATTGCATTATATCCTTTATGAATCTCTTTGTTTTGATAAGTTTATGAATGTAAATTAATAATATACAAAATGAATAAAAATTTATTATTATTTGCTCACTGATTTTTTCAATAATAGCAAAATATGTTAAAAAAAAATGCAAGTCTAGTGAATTCTCTTGTCTAGAAGAGTAAAAAATACAAGATCATATAGTATAGTAAAAGGCAACATGGATCTAATTTATTTTTGTATTTTAATTTTTTAATTTTTATTTGATTTTTGTTAAGCATTTTTAAAGTTTTATATTCAAAATAAGGTGTGATTAAAAACTATATGGTTTGAAAGTGATCCATGGAGATTATTTTATAATGTCAAGATTTTATTAGCTACTTTTTCACTCTCTAGGTTAAATATTTTTATTTTTTATAAAGAAATATATGTGTATGTTTTTCAATGTATTTTTATAATTAAAAAAAATTAATAAATAAAAAAATTTATACATGCATGTAATCAATTGAACTAAAAGTTATGTGCACTGATAAATAAATTATTAATGACTCCTAAAAATAAAACTTGAAAAACCAAGAGACGGATGTCGATTAAGATATTTAATTTTTAAAAATATAACATTAAATTAATTGAATAAAATATATATAAAAAAAAGAATAACATGTAAGGCTACATGTATTAAAAATATGATATGAAAATAAATATTTTTTATTATAAAAAACAAAGTTTATTTATATAAAATATAAAAACAAAATCACATACGAACTAAAAAAATATCCATGAAAATTAAATGCATGACAAAAAAATTATATTATTTAAAAGAGGATATCTGAACCAAAAAAAAAAGACAAGGTTTTATCCCTTTTTTTTCTTTTAATTTTTGAACCTATCACGACACTTTATCTTTTTTCAGTTGTATTCTTTAAAGTTATATTTTTTTATGATAGTCATGTCAGGCTCAAGCGTTTTGGATCTAATAGTTATGCTAGCAACAGTTGACGCGTTGATTGTCGAGGCAAATGACGTATCAACTGTTTTGCCCAAATTCTAATAATTGTAATGGCTGAAAAATTAGGGTCTGTATTCTTTCGACTCAAAAACCTATTTTATAATTCATTTTTGACACAAAACACCCTAAAAAACCATAATAAACTCATTTATGGACTAAAAAAACCTAAACATCTCTCTAGAAATCGAACACAACCTGAAATTAAAAATTAATCCAGGCTTAGATTTGTTTTTTTACAAAAATTTAAGATACAAAAACACCTAATATAAACTCCCTACATCGAATAAAATAACTTCACATGAAAATCTTTCATTTTGATGGCCTAGATCGGTGCCAATAGCAAGTTTTTTTTTCACCATTGGAATCCAACGACCCCTTCTTTCTCTTTTCTCAATCATGAATTAAAAATAACAAAATTAGACTCGTTTATCAAAATAGAACTGAAACAATTTTAAGGGACCATGATTATATAATTTATGCGATTGTTTAAGTTAGAAAACCAATGTTAATGTTTTCAAAACTTATGGTACATCACTTATGTTTGTCGTGTCTTTCATTTCGATCCTCCCTCTTCTAATTCCATCATTTCATAATAATTTAAAATTAATTGCTCATTAAATAAGACTTGACTGGTCATAAAACAAAGTTTGAAGATCAAACTGAAAAAAAAATTACACAACAACAAATGAACAATGAAAATCTCATGAGTTTTAGTATACAAGTAACATGATGTAAGAATATGAAAAAAAAAAAAAATTTATCCTATCTTCTTTAAGAATTGGTATTTAAAAAAAAAAATTATAAACATTAATCTTTTTTCATAATCATAAATGAGTTTTAATTTGAAAAAAATAAATATTTTTTTAGTGTAGACTTTTTTATCTATTTTTATTTTCATGTTAAATATTATTCATCTTTTCTTTCCTTTTCCATCCAAAGGGAATATTTTTATTTATTTATTTGATATTAGTGGATTATCTTCTTCTTCCTTTCCCCTATAAAAAGGTTGTAGTAGTATTATGACAAATGAGATTTTGAAGAGTGAAAATTAGATATTTTAGGTGTCTACTTATTGTTACGATGTTTTTTGGCCTTCTAGGACATTTTAATGATTGAAAAATCTCAAACAAGAAGGTTTTGCTCCATGAACAAGCTGAACGTGAAAACGAGTTCCTTATAATCAATGGAGATTGGTGCATGAGCTTTGTGAAAAAATAAATAAAAAATTCCTTGATTAGTTTTTTTTTTCCTTTCCGGTTCAAATATTTCATTCTTTTCTATTTTTAGTCTCGTACTCAAATGTCAGTAGCTTTCCTAGTTTTGATTTTTGAAATTAATAGATTTTCTATTCTTTTAATTCCTATATGATAGAAATAGGTTTTATAGTTTTAAATTTTTATAGACAGTATTATAATAATTTTTGACAAGTGAAAACTAAACGAAAAAAAAGTTTAACTATTTGAAATGTCTCTATGTAGTTATGACTAACTAGTTAATATCTACTATGTTGTAGGTTAGAATAAATATTTTTTTTGAAGTGTGATTAAAAAAATATTGGTGTTGTTAATATTTTTTTTTTAAATAAATTTTAACAATGAATTTAAAATTAATTAAGTGGTGAACAATATTTTTATTTGATATTGGAATGGAAACATACTAAATCTACATGGATTGACATACAAAACTTATAGGGATAATTTAGAAAAAAATAAACTATGAAACTAGATATTTAATTAATTAAATATTTAATGATGAAATTAATAAAAATAACATATACTGTTTTCAAAAATATATGAATTCGAGTAAACCAACCAAACTTGTGATGCAAATCATACATACCATTAAATTCAATAATTATCTTTCTAAATATTATTTTTCATTTATTTACATGACAACAAAGTATTTATCAATTTTTTAGTATAAAATATTTTTTATATAAAAAACATGATAACAATATAAAATCAAGATAGCAAAAATAGATGCAAGTCTTTTTTAGTTTTAAATTAAGTACAAAAATTATCTCATCTATGACCAAGGGAAAAATTACATTTAAAAAAAAAAATAAAGTATAACAAAAGGTATCATACAATAAAAAAAAAACAATAGCATGATGAACCTCAACATATCAAAGTTGTGATTTAAGTTAAAGATTTAATTGAATTCAAGATAATTTTATATAAATTTATACCCGAGTATAGTATATTAATTTTTTTTTTTTGAAAAGGAGCCCAACAATGCGGCTCAATTACCTAGTGCCCGGAGTCTTTGAAAGGAAAATTTCAAAATAAGGGTTTGGTGTTTTTTTAGAAGGAAACAAGTTGTCACATGCACCTCTTTTTTTTACAAAAAAAAAAGAAGAAGTATATAATATGTTACCTGCGATGACGTCTTATTTGTTGGCTCATATTTTAGCCGCAACCTTGGTTCACGAAAAAAAATCAAGATTTCATGTTTTTTTTATATAAAAAAAACATTTTTCAACTTATTTGAGCTCAATAAAACCCTATAAATATCTTAAACTATTAAAAAAAATTCAAATTTCAACCTAATAAATCAAAAAAATAATATGAGCCACAAAACAAACTGAGTGGAATACTTTGTCCTTAACTTGGTTCTAGTTTTCTAGGCTATATTAGGACTTGAAACAACCAAACCAAGACTTCTTTTGCTTTATGAAATTTTTGAACATGAATTTTAATTATTTTGATGATCAGAACAAGTGTTAGTGGCGAGCTTTTTTCTTCTACATCATAATTAGGCAAGCTCTCTCTCCTTGCAAAAATAAAAAGATTGAGAAATGATGAAAATAAATTTTGATATTAAAATTGAATCTTCACAAACCTAAAAGATTAGCCACCTATTAAATTTTAAAAAATAAGGGGCTAGCTTTTTTGAATGAAATTATAATCTTCCATTTATTTTGCTTTGACCATCTATTTTTGAGTTTCACTATCTATTTGAAAAAAAAAATGGCTGGTTATTAATTGAGTTTTAAAGGATTTAATTGTGCATAACAAAACATTAAGGATCAATTTTAGATTTTTTTTAAAAAATTATTTCAATCTTTAATGTGATTTCAAGTGTGTAGCAAACTGAAACAGTAAAATCATCTAAAAACTTAGTTTTTGTTAATATTGGTGATTCTTGATATTTTTATTTACAATAAATCATATCATTCACTTTTAGTTATTGCCTGTTGTTAAAAAAACAAATAATTAGTGGAAAGTTTTTAAAAATTGATGTTTTTGTGATGTAATATTATTTTTGTTAGTGTGAATATCTTGATCAATTTATGTATATTTCAACTAATTTCATGAGCCTTAAAATTAACCACTATATAAATCTTCAATTAATTTAAAATTTGTAAGACTTAAACTAGTAATATTTAAAAAGTAAATTTAGAATCCCATTAATTTAACCACACCTCTCATGTTTTTGTGATATAACATTTGTTTATTTGCTAGGTGGTTGAAAAATAATTTATGAATAAAAAAAATTAATTAAAATCCAAGTAAACTAACTTGTATGAACCGTCCATGACCATGAATGCACATAATTATTTTAAAAAAATCATGAACATATTACATTGCAAATGCTCTTTCTGGTTTTAAAAGTAAAATTATTTTAAATGCAAATAGTTTTTCTATATTGTTTTTCATTTTTTAATCATTCGCTCTTATTTGTTGCTTTAAGCATTTTTTTTACGACAAAACATCAAATACACTCCTAGAGTATTAGAATAATAATTTCACATGGTTTTTATTTATTTAT